CCCCCCCCCCCCCCCCCCCCCACCCTCTTACATTCGTCTCCTCACACGTCGGCGATCGATTTTTCCTCATTTGTAAGTCTCGAACAATTTTTGGAAGAGTTGATGTAAGTGAATGCATTTGTGAAAGCATCTACTCTTTTACATCATTTAATACACCGAAGGGATATAATTATACGATGAAAGGGTGAAGTGAGGGCGCGAACACAGCGCCAGCGGAGTACCATCGCGTGCGCTACGAAATTCACTTTTTGTACAGGTAAATATTCGATAATTTATTTTAATTTAATTGGCACCGCGGCGAAAAATTCGGCGTTTTATTGAATATAAATGAATAATGCTTCTGGAAATTCTATTCATTAGTCGAAGACCTCCTACGGTTAAACGTATTCATCGTATCTGAAAAAACGCAATCGACATGGTCGGTCACGAACGCGTCGTTTATCATGTACGAAACTCTCTCTATATATAAAACAGTAGGGAGACTGTGGTACCTAAAGATATGTTGTACTATGAAACGCATTGATTTACCTTTGATCACATTGAAAGATGTTTTGTATGATGTATGACTTTTAAAAATTTTCTTTTTAATTAAAAGAATGTTAAATTATGCGTAAAAACCGCGTGACTTGAAAAAAATACCATTGGAAACCAAAAAAAAGTTCTTTTTGTGTCGCCTGCTTAAATATATTATTTTTTAACCATAATAACATAACTGAGGCGTCAACATAAAAAAATCTTTTGAAGCTTCCATGAGTACTTTTTATATACAAAAGCTATGTGTTTCGCGGGTTATCTCCGTATCTATATTGATTCTTGAAATACCAACGTTTTATATCATAGTCTCCCCTAATAATAGAATTATATATAATTGTATGGAATTAAAATAATCACAATGCATTAATAAAATAACAGTTTATTACGATAGAATATTTAGCTATACGAAACGCGTTGGAACGACTACTAGTTTATTAATATATTCCTAACGCGTTCATCCAGCTCTTCCTTGAATTGCTTGTTATAGATTCAGTGCAGTGGATAATCATTTATATCTTGTGCATGAACTAGACAGGATGAACTAGATAAACCAGACGGGATAAAAATCGTTATTGAAAGGTCGAGTAACGCGTTACCCGCGACCGTAAGACTATGTTACGTACTGTGGCGTGAATAAATGACGTGCCCTTGCCCATTTCCATAAGTCACCCTCGGTACGCTGACTCGACGTGCATACTCTTAGCGAATACACGTTGAACAACAGATTCTTATCTAAACGGTAACGAGATGCTAAGCCGTAGGATATAAATCTCAGAGGATGTAGAGAATATAAATACCGCTCATTGGCCACATAAATGATATCATTCCAATTTACACTGAGAAAGAACAGTTTTATAGAAGTATCTACATAACACTTTTGAAGAAACATATATTTTCCAAGTTTTATTTCTTTAAATAGTGCTAAGCGAACATTTATTTACAGCAAAGAAATATATCTAATAAAAACAGATAAATATACTTAATAGAAAAATGATAATAAAATCAAAGTAATTATTTTTGTATCAAATGTTTATATTTAGCAAATATTTACTTAAAAACTATTCAAATAAATATTTGTTAAAATTTAATTTCTTTTCAATGTAAAAATGTAGCTAGATATAAATTTTAAAATAATTTGGTTGATCTGTCAAAATAATAGGGCTCTTAATCCGAGAATATCAAAATCATTTTGTTCATTATACATTTTCTAGATAATTCTTTTATAATCAAACAAAATTATTTTCAGATTTGTGTGTGTATCTAATTGCATGTTTAAATATTTGAGCAAAATTGTTCTTTCCTCGTGGAACGTTTCGCGCATGTGACGCGAAGTCTGCTTGGTCTAGGAAGACAGAGACGTTTTATTTGATTATATTATTTGACACTACGGTCTTTCTTATTACGCAGGCAAGGACTTATAATGCGAGATACGCAAATCTCAAACCGCGTTCTCGGTGCAGCGCGAGCCTTCCTCATCTGGCAGTCGAGCGGATTTCTCGGCTCACGAGCATACTGCTTTCAATCGAACCGCGTCATCGGAAATGATTGCTCCAGCTGTTCGAGTGAACCGTCTGTCCGCCGCGTTTCTAAATCGTCTGCTATGCACGCGGTACGGCATTAAGCAGCGGCGCACTTGATGCATGTGCTGGCGACTTGTTTTTATCGCGGGTCGCTTTCCTGCCCGAGCAATCCGTCTTACTTGCCTCTTGACAACGATTGGGAGAGCCTGAGCCTTGAGATTGAATAGCCTAGAAAAAGATAAGCCCGCAGATTTGTAAGCTTTACGTTATAAATGCGAAATTATATCTAAAATAGATCTTTTGCCTCGCGCGCTTTATACGCGGAACGTTTCAATCGCGACTATATGTAGTAAACGTTTATATACGTCGTATCTACAAAAATAATGGAGCCACAAATAATATACTAATTGGCTAAAGCCAATGACACTTTTATTCATTGATCTTTTAAACGTAGGCTACATAATTCTTCATAAGATATTAATCAGGATTATGGAATCTTGGCTTTCAAAGGCGGCATTGAAAATGTCTTAAGATTATTTATTCGAACAGTAGCAGATATATACTTTCAGTAAACCTTCCTTCAAGCGAATGGAGAGCGTGCGTCACGGATTCTGATTTATGACTTTTGTAATTCTGGAGTTCTCTCTCTCTCTCTCTCTCTCTCTCTCTCTCTCTCTCTCTCTCTCATCCTTTAATTAATATAATAATTTTATTTCTGACATTATCTCGTGTCTTACACTTCCAATTGAACAAGGGACTCACTTAAAGTGGACCGACATTGTGTTACGATATTTGTTGTAATAATCATTTATCTTTCTTGGTCGATCGTCCTGATATACTCGGTACATTTAATCGCTTTGGACATGTACAGAGTTTTCAGATTATAAATAATGAATCTCTTATTACGATTATTTATCACCGGCAATCCATTATCATCCATTATTGCCACATCCATGGCTCTCTCGGACGCACTAAAACACCTCAAATTACGTGCCGTCGTGAGCGCGCATACTGGCTTTTTAACCACTTAACGCGTCAATTTTTTTCTCCGCGCCCTGTTATACTCCCTTACGAGACATAACTTACGTCGCACATCATAAAAGCCGTGTAAAATATGTATACAGCAGCAGCGACGGCAGCGGCGGCGGGAAAAGAGAGAGAAAGAAACGGGCGTATCGAAATTAATGCTACCAAACTCGCACCAATGGTAATTAGTTTTGCTCCGAAAAGGCGAGCAACCAGTCGATTCGTCTTCCATTTATTGGCCATGAATCGTCTCTCATCGATTACGACGAGCACCATGACAAGTGCGATCGAATTTAGCGTGTCCGGAGCAAAGGAGTCCGCAATATTGCTGATGACATCCTCTTCGCCGTTAAATTCATAATGTCAAATTATACCCATTACTTTTAATTACTTCTACAAGTTGTTACTTCTCAATACATTGTTAATTTAACTAAAACAATGGAGTTAAACGATTTACCTGAAGAAATATATTAACTTTGACTCGCACACAATTCAATTTGTAATTTATCATTTACACGTTAATGCGAAGGTTGTTTAACTAATTACAGAAATGGATTGATTTATGTTTTGGCATACAATATTGAAATTGCAAATAACAAATATATTACTCGACTTAAGAGATTAATTATATGCTATTGCTCGTTCGATATACTTAACGGTGTTCGGGAATCGTGGAATGAGCGAAATAATTCTTTTTCACCCTTGCTGCTTGGATTATCTTCTCAATTGATAGAAATGAGATTGTGAGAAACGGTCTCCCAAGACATGCGAAAAACAGAGGCAGTGGCCTGTTATTTCGCCGTCCCGCTATTA